TGTTGGTCATTCTGTGTCTTTTGTTGGTCATTTTGAGTGTGATTTTGGTCATTTTACATCTTAATTTGTTAATTTTGTATCTTATTTAGGTCATTTTCATCACCTTTTGTTTGTTTTCAATGTCGTTTTATTCATTTTGCATCTTGTTGTGGTCAGCTTGAATGCTGCAGCGAACGTGAGTCATGCTGTTGGAAGGTTTTCTGTATTTCGTAGCAGATCAAAACCAGACTGTTGGCATTTTCCCTTAAAGTCACTCCCAAGTCCCCAACAGTAGGTTTCATAAAAGAAAATTTTTCAATAAAGGAAGCATCTGGGGCTCCTCATGCTGATCTCAGTAAAGTGTTTTTAGATTGTGCAGATCCTGAAGTTAGTTGTCTGTTTATCTACTTCGGCATCACCGCTTGCTGTGCTGCTCTATTAACTCTGTGAACTCTAAACTGTGTTGCTGCCGTCATGCTGCCTCTCTGATTATGATCTTAAAATGAGGACAATGACTCACTGATGGTGTTTATGTGCTGAGTTTACAGCCCAATCAGTGTCTCACTAACGAGGATGTGGAGGCTTTTATTTGAAGTCACCTGAGCAGGCTGCAGGTTGTTTTTTTGGACAGATTATCAGCTCGGTTAGTGATTTGTAACATAATGCAACCCAACGCACATGATTCACCTGAGGATGAATAATTAGTGTGCTCACCTGGAAGCAACAGCTGGTTGGCGTTTAGCTGCTCCGCTGACGTCTGTAAACTCCAGATGATTTTTATTTAAAGTGTCAGCAAATAAAAAATAGATCACACAAGTCAAAATGTAATTAAAACATCCGACGAACGTGCAGAAAATGCAATGCGATCGCTGCAGGCTGCTTCCTCTGCTGCAGAAGCTTGATCCGAGCTTTGCAGGTGGCCACATGTTGGCGCTATTGGGACGATTTTTTAGGATCACTTTATCACAGAGCAACCGTCTGCCAAGTTTTACTTCTGCAGGCTTTTTAGTTTTTGGTGATTTTTTTTGCACCATTTATTAAAATAAAAACAACAAATTCATCTTAACAAATAAACTGTTCACAACATTTTAACCCTCTACACTCTCTTCAGTCTTATTTTTGCTCACTGTGGGTTCATTTCTTTACTGCAGTATAAAGTCCTGCACCACGATGGAAACAGCACAACCGTGGCTAGAAGTACAGAGAACTCAGGAAAGTCTTCTGTGCAGTATGACACAGTCAGAATGACAAATCAGGAAAAATAAAAGAAGTTTATTTTCTTTAATTTTTTTTGCACTACAAAAAATGAAAAAAACCTAAAAACAACACTTTCAATCTTATTCTTAGCATCCACACGTGTTGCCATCAGTGGGAAAACAGTGATGCTTTAAAAATAACTGACAATAATACAAAATAATAAGAAACACTTGGTCATAGAAATTAAAGATAATGTTGCTTTTGTTGGATTTTATGACCGACTACGCAGGTTTGACACGTTGTACTGCAAAAACATCAGTTGATCATCTAATTTAACGGAGTTCTGGAATTTTTAAAGTGATTCTTCAGACATAACTTGGAAAATATATTTTTTAAATATGGGAATATTTTTCATTTTCTGATCACGCTGTTTAGTGTCACGAGTCATTACGGCTCACAGAAGACTCCTACATGCTACACTGGGTCACCACAGTGTTAAACAGTAAGTAAATGGTAAATGTTCTGCACATATGCAGCGCTTTTCTACCTTGGCGGCACTCAAAGCGCTTTACAGTGTTTCTCATTCACCCATTCACACACACATTCACACACCAGTGGCGACAGAGCTGCCGTGCAAGGTGCTGCCTGCCATTGGACGCTCAGTAAGAGTTGCTAGAGCTGGTCTATAGAAGTGAAGTGTGTATTATGTAGGAAGATGGTAAATAACTCCGACTGAACTGTGAGGAAAAAGAAAAGCGACATCGGGATGTTCAAGTATTTGTTTACAGCAGATGAGCTGATCATTACTGTGTCTGTGTGTTGCAGGTGCAGTGGCCGTGTATAAACCCCAAATACAAAGTGAAGAAGAAGAACTACAAGAACTCTGGCATCGTTATTCTGAACCAGTGCAAGGTGACTCATGTTTTCCTCTCTGTTATTTCAGTTCAGGGTTTGAGGTGCTGTTTTCGGCTGCTCGTCTTTTTTTTCTTTCTCCGAGGTTGATGTTGTCGTCTGGCTGACACACCGTTAGAAGCTCCAATTACGCGGCGCTGAGCAGCCCGACTAACCTGACATTTCCCGCCACGCGGTGCTGAACGGCGCTCAGACGGCGAGCGAGGGGAGTCTGGGGAATCCCTCTGCCGAATGAAAGCGGGATAACATTTAGCCTGATGACACTCGACACATGAAGGGTTCCCGCTTCGGAGTGATTTAACAGCCGCTCAGAAGCGCAGAATGAGCTGCAGCACAACACGGAAACAAATTACAGAGCCGCAGCGGAGCGCGCAGCTAATTTACACTTGATGGATGAGCAGCTTGAGTGGAAGCAGGAAGGAAGCCAAATGTTTTCAGAGCAGGAGGAGAGTCGGTAGTGAGGAGACGGAATGAGAGCAGGCTCACCGACCGACTGACCCGGCAGCAGGTCAACGGGTCGTCCATCCTCAGCTGCAGCAGCTCGTTCATGATCATCTACCGGCGCACAGGCTGGACGGGTGTAGTCATGTTTAAGCCTTTTGAATTTTGTTTTAGTCACAAAAAATAAAAACACTGTAGTTTAGTTTTCCACAGAGACATTTTGGTCACATTTGTCGCCAGTTTTTTTAATCTTCTAAACCTTTTGAGAGTGTCTCCATCTTTGTGTAAGGTTGCCATAGTTACAGATGTCATTCTGGTCAATGGCGAGACCAATGGAAAAGGCTTCCTGTCCCTCTATTCTGCTGTGAAACAATAGGTGGACTTTCCCCAGTAAATCCAGTTGTCATTTCAAAATTCGATGGTCATTTTGCATTGCTTTGTGGTTGTTTTTGCTGTCATTTTGCGTCACTTTGTAGTTATTTTGTGTCTCTTTGTGGTTCTTTGGGGTCGTTTTGCACTTATTGTGTAAGTTTTGGATCCCTTTTAAGCAGTTTTGTGTTGTTTCACATCACTGTGTGCCGTGGCGATTCTAGGATTTATTTTTCGGGGGGGCCCATAGGGGGCCAACGCTGTATTTTGGGTATTTAAGGTTGTTTTAAGTCTTTTTTGCATAATTTTCTGGATGTTTTGCACGTCGTTTTGTTAAAGATCGCTCTGGTCTCAGAATGTAATTTAAAGTTTGCCAGATATTTGGTCAGGCAACGGCATCGCAACTAAATCTGGTAGAAATCATAAACACTAGTGCATGGCTGCTGATGTTTGCTGTTCTTCATGTAAAGGACCGATTTAATTACCATTCAGTTTCATCTGGTCACAAAGCAAAGCAGCCAACATGAATTCACACCAAACTCTAGTCAACTCTCCGTCCGTTTTACACAAAAAGCTATTTTATACGTACAAACCACTAAACGGTTTCTGTTGTTTAGTGTTTCCAACAAGCCAAGCACCTTAAATATCAATATTGTTAAATGTTGTTATCGAACGAGGTGAATTGACAATGTGATGCACAAACACACAAGCAGAAGTACGATACTCGTGTCTATCAAGTGTCTGCTGCTGTCCTGCTAATCAGCCGGTCGACAAACAGCGATGAAGCTCCGTTGAAGCTCTGCAGACTAACTCGGTTTGATGTTGCAAACCTCAAACATTTGAATTCGTGGCTGTTTTCTGTCTGCAGATCATCAAGATGCACTCGTTTCTGGATTACATCATGGGAGGCTGTCAGATCCAGTTTACTGTGAGTACACACACACACACACACACACACGTAAATACACACATGCAGACACACACAGTCACACAATCGCAACCTTTACCCAACCTTTACCTGAACCTCAAACAGTCATTTGAAGGTCTGTCCCAAAGTGAGGACACGTCCAAACAGGGGCTGAAACCATAGGTGGTTCTCACAAGCATAGATGAACGTGCACATACACATGCACACACTCAGACACATGCACACACACACACGTGCACACACACACACACACACACAGTCGGGTCACGCTCGGGTCATCGTCCTGCTCCGTGTTGCCGTCTGGGAGGAAAGGCAGCATCCTGCTTCGTGTTCTTGGGGTATCTCTGACGTCGCCATGGAAACAGTAACCAGGGCGACACGTTCAGCAGCCTCCGTGCCCCAGTTAGCTCGCCACGGGACTCTCACTGGGACGTGACCAGTTCAACCAGTGCGACGGAGCGAACAGGAGCTGATTGTGAAACAGGAAGTTGTGATGTTGAACAGAGATTTTTAAACGTGTTGAATTTAGCGAACAAACCTCCGATGTTGTTTTGTCTCCAGCTGCAGTCGATAAAGTTGTTTAGAAAATGTTTCTGAACGTCAAACCGGAACGCTTCCAGGTTGTGTAGCTAAAAGTTACCGTCAACACAAACACAAACAACGCAGCTCAGAGAGTTTTGTTGTCATCTTTGTTGTTGTTGTGTCTCTGTGTGCAGCGTGTTTACATCTTTAGTCACACTCGGATTATTTTCCGACTCTTGTGGCCATTTTAAATTGTTGTGATCGCTTTACATAATTGTGTGTGTCTTTGTGATGATTTTGGATTGTTTTGCATCTCTTTATAATTGTTTTCAGTCATTTTGCATCTTTTTGTTGTTGTTTTTCGTCTGTGTCGTATTTTTTCGTCTCTTTGTGGACATTTTGTGTCCCTCTGTGATTGTTTTGTGTGTCTACGTAGCTGTTTTTTTTAATTTTGTATCTTTTTGTTGTATTTTTTTGTCATCATTTTGTGTCTATGTGGTTGTTTTGTGGTTGTTTGGTCATAATTTTGCGTCTATCTGTGGTTGTTTGTCGTTGCTTTGTTGTAGTTTTTATTTGTTCTGAGTCATTCTGCATCTGTTCGTGGTTGTTTTCAGTCATTTTGTGTCTCTTGTTGTCGTTTTATGTCTCTTTGCCGTCACTCTGTGTCTCTTTATTTGAACTTATTTGGTTTTCAGTCGTTTTCTTTCTCTCTGTGGTCATTTTGTTGTAGTTTGTCTTTGTGGCCATTTTTGGCTCTTTTTAAACTATTAAAGAAAAAGATCAGTCTGGTCTTACAATGAAACTGAAAGTTTACGAGAGAGTCAGTCAGACAAAAAATGCAAAATAATAAATGCTGTAATGCGGTTTCTGTAGCATTTCCACCTTTTCTCCATCCAAAGGACAAAACTCCATTTAAATGTCTGCAAATGTAACATCAGTTTGCACATTGACGAGCGTTTCTCCTCTTAGTTCATATGAATCTACGTCAGACTCCATTTAAATATCAGGCAGATGTTTTCTACATAGAACCCTGAAACTGTTTTTAATGTCAGGGTTTTAGTTTGTTACTGCTTTAAATCATCAAAAACATTAAATTAATAAAATTATTATTCTGTACTATTCTCTTGTTTATAGATTCAGCTCAGAGTGCAGCAGCTAAAGTTCTACATGAGGTTTGTTAGAATGATTATTAATCAGGTTTTAGAGTGTGTCATAGTTTACGTAAACGCCTTCAAGCTACAAACCGTGTGTTCTCAGAGATGTGAGCTTAACTGCTGCTGGTGCGTTTATTCAATATATTGTGAAGCTAAAAGCAGCCAAAAACAGCATTTTGTGTGCTTTCATTGCATATTTACTTCTTGTGAGTATGAATCACAGGATGAGTATCTGGAGACTTGAACGTCCTCCTGCTGTGAACTCATGTAAACATGTAAACAGAGCGACGCATCGCTCTCCTGGAACACTTCAATGTTTTATCGCTTTGTGCATCAGCAAGAAGAAGAAGAAGAGGAAGAAGAGGAAGAGTTCCTCCAGTCAGACGTGTTTCTGAAACGAGCCGCTCAGGACTTGGGTGTGTTTCCTGCAGCTGGGTTTATTCATGTTAGTCACTGTTGAGGTTTTTTCTTCTTGTGTCTAACAACAACAAACGCGATGCTGTGTTACACATTCACAGCCTCCTGGTGTGAACACACGACGTGTGATCGACACATTCTGGTGACAGTTGGCTGAAAACACAAACAGTTCAGTTGGCAAACTGACAAAAATCTGCTCGTCTCCTTTAGACGGAAAATCCAGCGTCGATCACTTTTCTTTGCGTGGACGTTGTGTGTCTCTCTGTGGCCTCCTGTGTCTTTTTGTGGGTGTTTTGTGTCACTTTGTGGTTGCTTTGTGGCTTTTTGTAGTGATGTTGTGTGTCTCTATGGACTTTTATGACGCCTGATGTTTGTTTTGTGTCTCTTTGTGGCCTCCTGTGTCTTTTTGTGGTTGCTTTGTGTCTTCTTGTTGTGATGTTGTGCTTCTCTATGGACGTTTATGACGTCTAATGTTTGTTGTGTGTTTCTTTGTGGATTTTTGTGTCTCCGTGGACATTTTGAATGACGTTGGGGATGTTGTGAGTGACTTTGTGACGGTTTTGTGTCCCTTTGTGAATATGTTGTGTCTCTTTGTGATAGTTTTGTGTCACCTGATGGTTGTTTTGTGTTTCTTTGTGGACGTTTTGTGTCTCTTTGTGCACAATTTGATTTTTTTTTCATCTTTTTTATTCTCATTCTGTTATTTTTGAGTCATTTTTCAAACGCTTTGAGTTGTTTTCCGTCTCTTTGTGATGATCTGATGACTCATTCGTGCTCATAACCATCGTCATTGGTTCAGTAATGATTAAATCTTGTGACTCTTCCTTTTCAGCAGACGAGTGGCTGCAGCTCTGAAATCAGTGGAAACAAAGTGAGCTAAAGATAAGCACAGAACCATCAGAGCTTTTTTAATTTTTAGGTCCAAATAATAAGCAGAAAACGATCATATAATAATATTTTTTCTGGCAGCTTTACGTTTGACTGTTTCACACCTGCAGCAGTAACTTTCTGTCAGTGGGAGACTTCTGGAGTCGTTTTAAATGGCAGCTCACGGTGTCCATCAACCTACATGTTCGTTTGAAGCTGAATGTGCAGGTGCTGCTCTGTGATTGGTTCTCATCTCTGATTGGCTGTTGTCTCTGCAGGTAGCCATCGACTTCACGGCGTCCAACGGAGATCCGCGTAACAGCTGCTCTCTGCATTACATCCACCCCTATCAGCCCAACGAGTACCTGAAGGCGCTGGTGGCGGTGGGAGAGATCTGCCAAGACTACGACAGGTAGCAGCCAATCACACGGCTCCACTCCTTAAAGGGACAGTGCAGGTTAACGAAGCAGCAGCTGGTTTTATTTTCATATATCCCTCTGTGAAGTTGAGGATGGACGACTTCTCTGCCCTCCCTCAGAGACAACTTGTTCTTTTTCTTGATATCTTGTTCTGGATTTTAGAAGCTGCCAGTTTGAATTTTTCCTCCTAATGGCTGAGACACTTTAAAGTCCTTCGGGCTTCGCTTTCTGTCCCACACAGGCTTTTATGATATTGCATTTTTGTAAAAGGTTGTAATTTATTCTGTGTGAGTGCAGAGAAACCCTGAAGTTAAAATGTGTTCAGTGTGAAGGTCTGAGATCTGAGAGCTGCTTTCTTCAGCGCCGCTAAAGATTTAAATGTTTGAAACTAGAAAGAGCTCAGAGAAGCTCTCCCGGACCGAAGGCTGCACAGACCTCCATATTGACCTGTTTTAGATGTGATTCTGGTGTGAGATCTTCATCACAACACACGCTGACAAATTTAATGTTCATTTATGTTACAGTGCTGAAATATTACAGCATCACTCAGGTTTGATGCAAATAGAGAACTTGCAGCTGAACAATGTGGTCAGGACTGTAATGGAAGGTAACTGAGTTCATTTGTGCTGTATTTAAGCACACTTTTTATTTACTTGTAATCAAGTATCTCCATGTTATGTGACTGTCTGCTCTATTTGGAGGCAAATATTGTACTTGTAACCCTTAAACTGCAGCTTCTGGGCATTTACTGCAAACACAACATGGCTGATTTTTGGTCAAATATTGACCACAATGACCAGACATATGTTTGGAGGAGAGAAGGTGAGGCCTGTAACCCACAAGAACACTCTACCTTCCATCAGGCATGGTGATGGTGGTGGTATTATGGTCTTGGGCTGTTTCGCTGCCAGTGACACTGGTGCAAATAGAAAAACGAAGGAGGAGGATTGCCTCCACGTCATCAGGAAAACCTAAAATCATCAGTCAGAAGGTTGTGTCTTGGATGCAAGCATCAAAAGTCACCCAGAAATGACTCAATTAGGCCAGAAATAAGGTTTCAGACTGGTCCTCCCAAGGTTCTGACTTAAACTCCATCAAGAAGCTGTGAAGTGTGACGTAGAAACAAGCCTGTGTCAGAATAAGTTTAGCTGAGCTGCACCAATTCTGTCAAGAGGACGAGTCAAAGATACAATCAGGGACTTTCAGACGGCGACCAAAAGCAAACTGCACCCAGTCACAGCTCACGTGACTGGGTGGAGTTTGTGAATTGTTTGTGTGCTTTTGGACTTTTGCAGAGCTCCTGGTCTTTATGCTAACTAAGCTAGGCTAGGCTGACTGTGAGAACTTCAGCTGCCTGAACATGTAGGACAACAAACCAGCAGCTGTTCTACCTTCTTGTGTTTCATCTTAGACATGTCTCCAACTCAGAGGTTTTATTGTGGGCATGATTTATCCTAAATCCCAAACACTCCTCCCTTCCACTCCTCTGTTCCTCCACATCCGTGAAGCGAGCAGGCGTCACTGCTGCTCAGCCAATCAGAGGTCATTTATTTGCTTTGTGTCGCAGCAGCAGCGGTGGACTGAAGGAGCTCATTAACCCCAATCACTAAATGATTTTTCCCTTTCCTTTCAGTGACAAAATGTTCCCGGCGTTCGGCTTCGGCGCTCGGATCCCTCCTGACTTCAAGGTAATTTAGCCGCTCGGCTCGCCGTCTCTCCCAGCATGCACTCTGTCAGCGTGGGGGGAGGCCTGGGGAGGGTCAGGATCAGTGATTACCTGCCGCCTCCTCGTCCTCGTAGCCCCGGGGTGCTGTCGGTTCCGTTTGACTTCCTCCTTCCTTTCTCGTAGCCGGTGGTCTGACTTTCTGATTGCCTCCATTCAGAGTCCACCGCCTGCAAACGTGGCCTCAGTGTGTGATGGGTTAAAGTTAAAGTGACGTTTAAAACAGATTCTTCATCATCTTTAGCAAAAAAACCCACCAAATTCACTGTGATGTGATCAGAAGCTTGTATTATGTACAAAACATAAAGTAATGAAGCATCTTTAGCTTCATATCTCAGTAATATAATGATATAATATTAATATTTCCCTACATATATGGGATTGAAGAAAGATGAAGGGCAAAAACTAAAACCCTTCCAACATCCAGTCAGGCTGTAACAAATGATTGTCGTTGATTCGTAGGTTTTTGACACTTCAGGTTGGCTTCATTTTTCAGGGCCGGTTGCTACGTCCATCTTTTATACAGTCTATGATACAACCTCAGTATATATGCATGGTTTACTGAAGACAACATATTTCAACTTGAGAACAGTCAGTAGAGTGCAGAGCAAGTAAGACCAGCTTGTTTTCTTTTAGGTGGAAGTGGAAACACAAGAGATGCGATTGCACGCTGCTCGTTGAAAAATACTGAAAAATCACTGGACTGACCGTGTAGTGGTGGAAACAAAGCTCCCCTGTGGGTTCTGTGGGTTGTTGAGTGATTGACAGTAAGTGTGCAGTAGCTTCCAGCGTCGCCTCACCTCTGGGGAGACTGGACTTCTTTGTCCTGGAGGAGCCCGTCAGTCAGATTAGATGTCAGGGAGAAAATGAGAGAGGCTACAAAAAGGGATGAAGATGGATGGAGGTGAAGGAGCTGGAGAGACCTGCTGGTTTCATTGTTGGAGATCTTTCTCTTGTTTGATGCAGAGATCAAACAGACCTCTCGTGTCTCCCCCCCCTCAGGTCTCCCACGACTTTGCGGTGAATTTTAACGAAGAGAACCCCGAGTGTGCAGGTAGGTGCTTTGATTTTCTGCCGTCTTTGAAAGAAAAACGAGGAAGAAAATGACTCAAATATTTGACAGTGAGCCTCAGAAGTCAGAGCGCAGCGGAAAATCTTTGATGTGAGAATTAGTTTGGTGACAATGAGGACGCCGGTCGAAGGCGCTCCATCGATCTGAAGCCTCTGATGACACAGGAGTGACACCGGCTCAGCTGGTTCAGGAGGATTCGTGTCCGGTTGTTTACATTTGAGACTTCCTGACGTGTTGAGTTGATAACGTTTGAGAAGGTGTTGATCATAAAAAGCACGTAGATGCCAGACAAAAGTATAAATAATTTGACAAGCGGCTTGTTTTGAAGGCTTAAAGTGTTTTTTTTCTCTCAGTTTCTAACGTGACTGTTAGTCTGAGTTCTCATCTCATTAAGCAAACACCATTAAAAACATTTATGTTGAACTCAGCGAGGTGTAACTCCGTCTCTCAGAAATCACCTGATCTTACTAACTGGATCTCACTTTTATCAACATAAGGAGGATTTGTTGCTCATTTTTACTGAACAACGAAGCGAACATCTAATCTCACAGTCCAGTATCTCCGTGTTTTGGGATTATTAAACAGTTTTCTGTCGGTGCTTAGTTCAGGAATGTTGGTGGTTTGCTTTATTTCAGAAAAAAAAACACATCTTTCTTTTTATTTGACCTAAACCTCTGCTGTGGCAGTAGTGTGGTGTGTGCGCCCAGCATCTACCCCGACCTCCTCCTGTGGACTCCATGATGCTTTATTTATTCATGAAGCTCATGTTAACACAGAGGCACAGTGATGGACAGGCGTGTAAAAAAGCCGCCTGATGGTTGTCACGCTTCATGTTTTGCATCTTTTTGAATCTCTTTTACTGGTTTTCTGTTTCATTTTGGTCAGTTAAAAAAAAATCTCTTTATTGCATCACTGTGTTGTTTTGCTCTTGTTTTTACTGTTTGGCGTCTCTTTCTAGTTTTATTTTTATTGCAACTTTTCCGTCTGTGGTTGTTTTGCTTCATATTCTGACTGTGTTGCATTTGTTTTTGTCTGTTTTGTGACTTTTCATGGTTGTTATCTGGTGATCTGGTTGTTTTCAGCTCTTTCTTTTTGCCTGTTGTTGTTTATTTGTGTTCTTTGATGGTTTGTGTTTCTCTTTATGGTCATCGCTTTGCTTCCATTTTCCTTTGCTTGGGTTTTTTCATCATTGCTCGCGTTTCTTTTTGTTTGTTTTGCAGCTCCTTTGCAGGCGTTTTTAATTTTGTTGTTGTTGTTGTTGTTTTGCGTGTCTTTGTGGTCGTCCTGCATCACTTCATAGTTGTTGTGTCTCTTTGTCGTCACAGAAACCCAAAACCTCGTCCCAGGTCTAAACAAAAGACAACAAATTAATTGACCCTTCAGCACAAGAAGTAAAACGCAGTTCTGTTCTTTGTCGAGCTTTTTATTTTGTTGAAGATGCAGAGTTTGTCTTTTGTAGAATATGATGTTTTTTTTTTTACAAGCACAAACAGATAAATTATTTTTAAAAATATATAGTCATTTTATAGTTTTCCTTTCTGCTCTGTCACAATGATTCAAATCAGTTATTTTTGTTTTACTGTAACTTAAATCACTTGTGAGCACAGAAGCTTCATGTCCGTCCAGATTTTCAGCATTAAATTCAGATATTAATTGTTCAATATTTTATAAAACTGATATCAGTAATGAAACCTCAGAGTTCCACTTCTGGGGTTTAATTTATAAAAGCCTGTTGGCCTGTTTGAACGTTCACAGCCTCTGGCCAAATGTTCTTCAACCTTAATAATTAATTCAGTCAAAGAGCCTGAAGAGAGAAAATAAAGCTGTTGTTTTTTTAAATGATTTTTTTAACAGCTTCATTCGGCTGAATCTCATTTTCATAACAACACATGAGTACAAATTAAAAAAGCAAAGCAAAACACAGTGCAGCGATCAGAATCAATAAAAGCACTTTAAATGAAATCCCAGTAGAGGCGAGACCTCTGTGTCTCAGTGTTCCTGCCTCCTGCCCGATCGCTGCTTCTGGATTGATCGTATTGATCAGTGCTGATGACCTCCAGGACTCTTTATTCACCTCCAGGACTCTTCTAGTTTTACTCGAGAGTTAAATTTTAAATGCAGAAAGTTAACTTCCAGATGGTAAGTTTGTGTTCTGTAAAACAATGTGAAGCCTCGTTGTGAACATTCACAGCAAAATATAAAGTTCACAGCTGCAGTTCTGCCACAAAACTAAGTTAACTGGAACATGAGCTGTTGACTCAAACTGCATTCTGATTTATTTCATTATTATTAGATCATACTATTATTTATTTAAATTAGTCAAATCAATTAAATTCAGTTTAATTCAAATTACTTGCTTAAAAATTCTTGTTCTTCTTCAAAATGAAAAAGTTATTCTCAGATTCTGAGGTTTCACGTGGATCTTAATGACCCTGTCTTTGAATAGAAACTGCTAAACTAGCTCTGTGAAAATAAAAAAGGCAGCTTTTTTCATGTCTACTAAAGTAATAAAGCTAATAAACTAAACTAATTGGACATGGTAACCAAATCAGTGCTGATGAGTTATTTCTTGCCACAAGGGGGCGCTAATGCTGAGCCAAGTGGACCTACGAGCTAATGTTAAATCCTGCTAACTGGACCAACAAGCTTGTCTTGACTCACCAACTAAACTTAATTCTGAGCTAACTGGTCCCACAAGCTAATGTAAATTATATGATAATTGGACCAATAAGCTAATGTTAGCTGTCAGCTAACTAGACCCACAAACTAACCTTCATTCTAAGCTAACTTGACAGAAGACTTTTAATGAATCAGGGGTGACCATATTTTGATTACTGGAAAACCAGGACTGAGCAATGAGATACTCAAATGATGCTCGAAGTTCACTCAAAGGTGCCTTAAAATTTCAAGACATTAAAAACCAGGACGTTTTTATCACTTTAGAAAAAACAACCAGGATGTCCAGGACAGGACGTGGAAACAGGACGTCCTGGGAAAACACCCGAATACGTCTTAAACATTTGTTATCGTCTGACATTTTGGGAAGGATGTGGTCTGTTTAGCCGAGCTCAGCTTAGCACAAAGACGAAGAAAAAGTGTCAACAGCTGCAAGTCTGTCAATTTTACATGTTTTCTGTGAATATAGATGTCAGAGGAATTTCAAGTGGTCTTAGGAGCAGTTAGCTGTGGAGCCACTGGTGTATTTTTACTCCAGGTTCTTGGGTTTTTCAGTTTTTTGAATGAAAGAAAGACTGTGTTTGGATGAAGGTCTTTCGCCCTGTCAGCTGCTAAAGGTCATTGATCAGCTCAGAGAGACACTTCAACACCCACACTTTTAATTAAGTCTGAGTGTGAAGGAGATTGTGTTCTCAGCAACCTTCAGACACTGACTCACATCAGCGCCGCCGCCGGGCATGCTGGGACGCCTCGACACACCCGAGCAGACGACACTGAACCTGACCGTCGTCTTTCTGTCGTGTGATCCTGCAAAAAACTCAATTTAATAACGTGTCAGACGTCACAGACTGTGGGTAGAGGTTTCACCGAGGAGGACGCTGGTGCTGTTCAGTGTTTACATGAAGGTTATTTATGAAATATAAATATAGGACAATAAATACATGTTATATTTAAGAAAAAGTACATTTATAGCAGGTTTAAATGATCAACAGCAGCACTTATAAACTTCAATTGTAATATACTTGTAGGTCTTCAGGCCTCTGTTCATAAGATTCAGACCTTGTTTCACATAAAAAACAACTCAGCTTTTAGTTCACAATCATCCCACATTTTGTTTCTTGGGGTGACTGGATCCCATATTTTATTCAAACATCCTTGAACCAGTGACTGTCTTGTTTAAATATAATGACTGAACTGTTTGTGCTGTGCTTGTAGTGTTTTTTGGAGAACCTCTCTACCCTCTGTGATTTAAAGGGCTGTTGTTGTGTCCCGTCAGGTATCCAGGGGGTGGTCGAGGCCTACCAGGCCTGTCTACCCAAGCTGCAGCTCTACGGCCCCACCAACATCGCCCCCATCATCCAGAAGGTTGCCAACTCAGCCTCGCAGGAGGTCCACACCAAAGAGGCCATGGTGAGCAGGATTTATTCACAGTTCTTCACTGACATTCATAGTGATGCACTCTGCTGTGGACGTGAGAAGTTGTGTCGAGGATAAAAAAGAAAAAGCTCCACTGAGTGTGACGAGGGTTTGAATCACTGATCGTCAGTTTCACAAAGTTGCAGAAATGTTAGGAAACAGTCAGTTAATCTGATGCCGTAAAGGTCTTCATGTAACGGACAGATGTTGCAACACTTTACTTCTGACTCATAAAACTAGCCGTCGCTCTGCAAACAAAACAACAGACCAGTCTTCTGTTTAGGTGTGTGCAGCCCTTTTATACAGAAATAAGTTATAACTGTGTTTATTTTTTTTTAAATTAAGACTACCAGTATACAGGAAATAACTGCTTAGTCTCAAACGGCATCCCGGCCATCCAGCATCAGCCGACAGTTGCTGAGTAGTTTCATCCGTTACAGAGTCTGTAGATATGAACTGACTCATATTAAAAGTGTCCCTGTGCTGTGCTGCATCCACAAACTGAAGATGCAATAATCCTCAAATGTAAGCTCAGTGTCCTAACAACCCCCAGGGATGGTAATAATTATCTGTTAATCAATTAATCACTATTGATAATTTTGTCAGTTACACATATATTAGGCAGAAGATGACAGGTGTCAGATTAGCTGCAGTGTCTGGTTGCTCCAGCAGGTGGAGCCTCTCACCGTTTCCTGAGGTGGAGTTAAAGGTGTGTTTGCATCAAGCGACTGCACCTCCCTGCTGTCTCACTGCTGCCTGTGGCAGTCATGTTGATGAACTCTGTAGCATCAAGTCATGAAAGCTGTCTGCCAGCTGTTCAGTTTAATTACCCACCTGAGGTTAATGCTAAGCTAATGTGTTCAATGCTAACACAGGCCAGAAGAAACCCTGATAACATTTAGTAACAGCAAGACTCTGATTAAAAACTTCCAACAGCATTAAAGGGATGAAATTCACAGTCAGATATGAAGTTTATTTCATTGCAACAAACTATGACATCAGCTCGTTTGACAGGTTCTCCTGACTCTCTCTCTTCTAGCAATACTTCATCTTGCTGATCCTGACAGACGGCGTCATCACCGACATGGCCGACACGAGGGAGGCCATTGTCCAGGCCTCCCACCTCCCCATGTCCGTCATCATCGTCGGGGTTGGAAACGCTGACTTCAGCGACATGCAGATGCTGGATGGCGACGACGGGATCCTACGATCGCCCAAAGGAGAGCCCGTCCTCCGGGACATCGTCCAGTTCGTTCCCTTCCGCAACTTCAAACATGTGAGTCCTTCAGTCGGGGTGTAAGAGGAGACA